CCTGTTAGTGGGTCCGAAAGTGGCTGAACACTCACAGACATCAGGGCAGGGACTCTGTCCCCCAAGGCCCAGGTGGTACAGAAAGATTCACACTCCCCCCCCCCAACCAAAAAACGCGCAAATTAAGAGTTACAATAAAAACTACTAAACATTTCTTCTACTTTCCAAAAAGTGACTGATATGCTGGACGGCTAGATGAACGCCGCTTCAGTTCCCAAACCTCTCCCCAGGGGCACCTCAGACATTACATGTATTTATTAAATTTCACCAGCTCACTTAATTTAATTAGTTTAAAAAGTCAATGAGATATTGATTAGCTATACAAGGTGCACTAGGGGTCCAGTCAAAAAATACATGAGTGTATTGGATGGTTACTGGAAATAATGGGGTGATTTTAGCAGAATTTTTGAAATGGCTAAGCTGCCACACTGTCAGCAGCATAAAACACAGTTTTACACCAACATGTTAAACATTTTCATTAGCTGCCTAAGACTTTTGCACCATACTGTATATCTTGTGTTAAGTGTGCAAAAACTGAGATGTGAAGAGATTAGCTACCAGGGCTGTTGCAACATGTAGCCTTGACCCCTACATGCCATTGATGGATCAGGAAGATCTGCTTTAAGCAGCCGCCCCTTGGCCTTCCTGCCCGTCCATCCCGACAATCGCTCTGGCTCTCCCAGAGCGCATGCAGCACACTAACCTGAGTCATTTTGAGGAAGTCCAGCGAGGGCCGGCTCCAGCGTGCCTCGTTCTCCCGGGGTCGCTTCAGGCCCGCCTTGCGCTCTTGGAGCACACAGGGCTGGGAGCGGCAGCGCAGTAACCCCGCACGGCGGCCCAGCTCCGGGCTGGAGGCCGGGCTGCTACTGCTGGAGGAGGCCAGCAGGCCGTGGCCCTCGGGAATGTGCTCCTGGGAGAGCGAAAGCCGGCGGCAGGGCGAGAGCTCGGGGGACCTTCCGGCAGGCCAGGGAGGGGCGGAGGAGGAGGAGGCACCGCTGCTGCGCCCGCTGCAGTCCACGAAGCCGCTGCTGGCCGACGAGGGCCGCGGCACAGGGGACACAGCTGGAGCAAAGGCACTACAGGGGACAGAGAAGAAGCCGCAGCCGCCAGGAGGCGAGGAGGAGGCGGCGGAGGGGGCAGCGGCCGAGCTGCAGCTTCCATGCACGCCGCCATACTGCAGCGAGGCCACGCCCCCACTGTTGCAGCGCCTCTTGGATATCGGAGTCCAGATCTTGGAGCCGTTGCCGGGCTTCCATGGTGACCGGCAGCGGGAAAGTTCATCCGGCTCAGATAAGGAGCGGCAGTGGCGCTTAGTGGGCGGGGCCAGAACAGACCCACCATTGTCATTCAGACTCAGGTCGCTGATCCAGCCAGGAAGGAGCATCGCTCCGGCAGCCTCACACCACATGGCAGACCTAGGGGTGGACCGGGGTGGCGGCCACGACGGGCTCGGCCCGCTGCCGAAGGCAAGTGCGAGGGAGCTTGAGGCAATTCCAGTCTGCTCACTGCAGCTGCCGTCGGTTGACCTCCATGGCTTTTCTTCTGCTGGAAAGAGAGCAGGAGATCTCGAGACCATCAGCACTGAGAGACCCCGGAACTCGTTACAGTACAGTTACCGGAGGCAAACACGGCTGACTGCTATCACAGCTGAAGACACCAGACAGGTGTTCCTACAGAAGCAAATAAAGGCAAACTAATGTAGCCGCAACTAAGAGGCAGAACGGAGTTATGCAACAGCAGTGAAGGGGAACAAACTAATCACCAAAGGCCAATGGGGAAATGTACAACGAGAAACGAAAACCGAAAGTTAGGAGAACTTACCATGGTTTTCATACGGGTACTGTCCGAGTGTTTGCCGGAGTTTTTCCGTGCGCTGAAACGAAGGAAGGGACGTCTAAGAGGAGTGTCGATGCACTCGCCCAACCAGCAAGCGCAAAGACCACAGAGCCTAGATTCCACTAATCCCCGCAGGTTAACTCAAATACAAAACAACTGTGAAAGTCAATCCATGCAAGTATAGAGAAGGGGCTTGTACAAGTTGGTTAAAATTCCTTTAATGTTACGTAGCCCGGTTAAATGTAACTTAATGCTGTAACAGCTCTAAAAAGTGTTTCACGAGAGCCAAGTTGGTGAAAGGGATCAACTTCATATAAATTCTTTATGGTGCAACTAAGGTACGAGGTAAATCTAACGTGGAATTAAGGGTCCGGAGATTACACACTTTCAAAGGCACAAGGAAAACATGAAGCCAACAAGGGGAGTATGGAAACTGATAGTATGCAGAGGGTGTGTCATTGGGGATAATGGAATTACCATTTCAATTCACCTACTGATGTCAACTAACCAAGCACCCCTATAAAAGGTTGGTGAGCTCTTCCCTACGGCCAATGTGAGTTGATGCCAGATGCTCCGCACCCTGGTTTCACTTTTCTGAAGGGGGCTTGGAGCTCATTGGATTAGGGACCAGTGCCCAAAAAAGTCATGGGTTCAAATCCGGTGGCCTGTGACTCACTGTTGGGCCCTTAAGCAAACCCTTAACTCAGACTGATGCAGGGGTTAATACAATTATTAAATAGTAAAGGAGTTGGTTACCTCCAGAAAAGGGATACATCAGGCATGAACATTGTTCTCTGATTAAAAACAAAACAAAAAAAAACATGGGAAAATGCAGCAGAATCATTTCCTGCCCAGAACTTCCTGCCTGAGACAACAAAGGCCATAATTAGGGGGCTTTTTTCATGCAAAGAGCCACATCTCTGAAGGCCACCCTGCCAACCCCAGGCCACTTAGAACCCTCACACCAAGCATTTCGAGCTCCACGAGGAAGGTGAGAAACACTAACAATTAGACTGGATCCTGGGGTTTCTAACGACACGAGAAGCTTATATTTCCCAGAGTTCACTTGACAGGGGTCAGGAAAACAAGCTTTCTTCCCGGAGAATCATGCTCCAGCTGCAGCCAATCTAACAGCTAATTGTATACAATTATACTCATATACAGTAATATATATGCACATATAATCATATCATCATATAATTCACTTCAGACTTAGAAATGTAGTGCTGAAGTATGGAAAACAAATTCAGACACTACTCAACCGCCATGAAGTCCAGATTCTCCATACTGAGTTACGCCTGGTTCAAGTCCCTCTAAGCAGGTTTTACCAGCTTGGGGGAGGTGTAATAAAAAATGACAACTAAATTAGGGGATAGGGGATTACAAGCTACCTGAACTCTGGGGTGTCACTGTTTCCTATTTGCTAGCAGAATCAGGGCCAGGGAATAGAGGCCTTAAAAGGTCACACCTGCCCCTGGCTGGGATGTCAGGTTCCCCCCCCCCCCCACACACACACAGGGAATCGAAATGAGCTCCACTGAAAGAAATGTTAAGGTCCCGGTGGCTACAACCTAATATGGCCACTGAACACCAACAACTGGCAGCTTTTTTGCACCAAACACAGCTTAAAGACTCTACCATGGAGACATCAGTGACAGACCTATTCAAAAAATATGAATCGAACAGAAAATTGTAGACAATTACAGAACTATTTGGATAAATATCGTTATAACTCTGCACTAATTCATGTTTAGACTCCCAAGCTGGGAACCACTAACATTTGCGGTAGAATCTATTTAGATCGGGATCTGAATGCACCCACTCCTCTATGCTATCGTCTAACTCAGAGCTCCAGAAGTCTCACTTTGAAGGTCTTCTCTCTTTTTCCATACTTTAAGAATATTATTCCTGTCTTATAACTATTGCTAACAAGGGCAACACCATGCAATCAGGATAACACAAGCTTTCAGTGGAACAAGACAGACCATGTAACAGTCAAGTTAGTACATTGCCCTGTCTAAAGATGTGTAGATGGAAGTAAAAATGGCTGTTTCATCAATAGTGTTGAGTTACAAGTTCACAATCCTCCACCTACAATATGGTCAGCTGACAGAAGGCAGGACTCATTTGACTCATTCTATGCACTAAACAGCCACACTTGGCACGTCACTCCACAGCAAATTAGGAGCATGCTCAGTACGTACACCCCGCCAAAGGGGCCGAACACAGCTTACAAGCTCGATATATTCACTGGCTATTTGGCAAGGCCAAACATGGGCTGTTTATATTCACTCTTGTTCTTCTGCAATATATGGCTGAACACTAGGAGTGCAAATCGTTGACAAAGGTGATTCGATGTACCGATTAACTGGGAGCGTAAATTCTCAAAAAGGCCAATTCCACATACGGATGAAGGAAGCATTACCTGATTGCCTGCTGTCACCGATACCGATCGCCAGCTAACCCCTGACCCTCGTGCCGAGGTGGGCTGGGCGGCCTGGAGTGAAACCCGTACAGCTTGCCGGCACAGATTATTGAGTGATGTTATATTGTCTTTTATTCTCTGGAAAAAGAAAGACTGATCTGTGCACCAGATGTAATAGTGAATCCGTACTTGGAGGTCCCTTATGAGCATCGAATGAACTGACGAAATCCCTCATCCTCAACTGTGGAAAATGGATGATTGTCCAATGCAATCATCTCCAGTACTTTAATATTTGTGCTTGTAGCTCTGGTGCTACTAACTTTAAATCTTCATAAAGATTAAACATCGCCTGACAATTTCAAAACTGATAAATCGAACTGAGGCCGATATCTTTATTCTTAACTAATATCATCCGATATTGATATATTATATGCATATGCATCTCTGAGGCCAACACTATTTTTTACTTCGCTGCCATTATAACACAAAGGTTATCTTGACCCTTAGAAAGAGCATTCTGCACTACAAGCGAGGTATGAGTTTCCCAATAACACTGTAGTGCAGGGATCACCAGGGAGCACATCCTTTGAGGATTGTTATTGATGAGCCTTCCCTTACCATCCTATGCTTTGGAGATTCACATCCCGGTGCTGCTACTTTGCCCATACCTGCAGTAAGGCTACCTTGAAGGAGGACGTGCTCCCAAAAATCAATTACGACTGATGAATTGGCCCCTTAATAATGGATTTATCACAATGCATCAATGCGTCTTTACACCCGTACTGGAAACAACCAAGAGAGCCACCTGATTTTGTTCAGTGTCACCCAACCAACAAGGGAGACCGACAGTCTAGGCTGGAAAGTCTGTGACAGACAGAGCCCATTAAGATAACTGACCTGAGCCACTTGGGAGGATAGCATCAACACTTGGAGTCGGCCCCATCTGGTTAATCACACACACCAGTGAGCAGGTCGGCTTCGTACTGAGCAGCTCCAAAACCGGCTTTTCCCCCCTCACCACAAAACTGTCGCAGCTTTAAATGTCAAAAACTGTTCTGCTGACAGCGTTAACATGACAGGGCGTGATCATCTATACACAAGGCACCCATAAATCCTCCAAGTTAACCAGGCAGGTAGCTCTGAATGTTTTGATTACTAAAGATTAATGTAATTACAGGTAATGATAGTCTGCCTGTTCATACCCACTTTGGGTTGCAATACAATAAATCTTAAATGATTACAGTCTAACTTTTGAAAACCAAGACTTACCTGATCATGACAGGACTTGAAAGACTCAGGCAGGACATTTCGACAGTAACATACCAATGTAATAAAGAAAGTATTCAAGACAATGGAAAAAAACCTCACTCTTTTGGGTCTGGAAACCTCAAGCAGCAGCGGAAATGCTCAGCCAGCAGAAGACCAGCCACCCCAGTCTCCCTGCCTTGGAGTTTCATGCATTAGTACAGATTCTGGTTGAAGTTCAGAGCTCTTATTACATATTTTATAAAGGGCCAGTGCTGAGCAGAGCCCAGTGGTGCAGTTGCTGCAGCAGGCCGGCCATGGTGGGGGGCATCGACAGGATGGAATTCTTGGCACTGGCAAGTGTTTGCTGAGCAGCTGCGTTGACACTGTGCTTGTGAGTTCTTACTGACCGCTAGCTGACCCACTTCGTATCAGTTCCTTACATTTTCCTGTTACTCAGCATGCCTCTTACATACTGTCACCATGCAAATGCCCGCCTAGCACCCCCTGCTGGCCACTCACCAGGCTGACGCCATAGGCTTCGCAGGGTCCGTCGCAGAGCCGCGGCTCCCGCAGCTTCTCCGCGATCAGCGTCATCACAGCACCAGTTCCCTTGTCGCCTGGCTCTCCCACGAGCATCGGGGTCCTCCTGGTGCTCACTACACTCTCCAGCCCCCGGAGCTGACTAGGGCGTGGGGCACTCCAGAGCTTAGAATGGCCATGAAGGAGGAGCGGGCCTTGGGGTGCCTGCCGGGGAAAGCCCCTTTCTTCTGGTGATGGGTTCACTTCTGCATTGCCGGATGCCTCTGCGGAATAGGGAGAGCCAACGTAAGAAGCAATAAACCCAGAATAACTCTCAGGAAGCCGCACGCGAATGAGCAGCACGCGAATGAGCAGCACGCGAATGAGCAGCACGCGAATGAGCAGCACGCGAATGAGCAGCACGCGAATGAGCAGCACGCGAATGAGCAGCACCAGCTCGGAGGTGGGATTCACCAGTGCTGTTAAATCAGGGCTGCTGATTTCAGAGCTTTCACTGCTAAACTGGAGCGCTGCATGTTGGTTAATCAGCCTTTTCTGGATCTCAGGAACTTGTGACCATTTCCAAAGATGTTCCTTTTATAGAGCTGGTGACATCTTTCCAGGAGAGCATTTGTGTCACATTTTTGGTAACTTCCCAGTTACGGCTATTAATCTCCATTAGAACTGAAACTATATTTGGGAAAGGAAGTGAAAAATTAATCGGATGCATATTAAAATATTTAATCTCCCCATAATTTATGCTGATGCAGTCTAAGTCGTTCAGTGGTTAAGTCACCTGCAAACAAAATGGAAAGCTAACAGTTTTAACATTTTTAATTAATAGAAACACTTAAGCTGGAGACAACATCTTTGCTACATTTATCGTAACTGATACTCCTGAAACCCAAACTGGGCCAGAGGTGATTGTACCTCTCCCTCCATGTTTTATCTAATAATATGAAAAGTCAGTCTCAGCATAAGGGTAGATCGTTTTACCATGAGACACAATTCACTCAAACCTCGTCTTGATAATTATTCAACAGGCGGCCTGGGGCGCTGTGGTTAGCACTGCACCCTCACACCTGCAAGCTGCGGGCGGCTTGAGTGTGCAGTGCAGAGCATGTTCTCCCCATGTCAAGAGGCCGTCCTCCAGGGAACAGGACATGCAATGTCCCTAAACTGTCTGAAAACATCTGAAACGAATGGCATCCTGTCCAGGGTGTGCTGCTGACCTGCATCCAATGCCACCTTGGGTGGCCAGCAAGTCTCCCTGTCCTGTATAAGGGATTGGAAGATGCATGGAGAATTAGAACCCTGGGCTAAAAATGTATCCATCACATGGCTTATAATCAAGAACGAGAAACATGCTCATCTGCAAGACCATTAAACCTCATTGCAATCAAGTACAATGGGGTAAACTGATAGGACATTCAAAACACCACATTGCACATTGCAATGTACACCTCAACAGGTTAGGGATCTATTGAGGGTTCACATCCTGAGGCCATCAAAGTAACCACACCAGCGTTGGGCCTTTGGCACCAAACACTCCAGGGGTGCGGTCTGACCCTCATCTCCAACCTCAAGTTCTCCTCACTTGTGCGGCACTTCGGAGAAAGGAATCTGCTAAGTAAATATCAAATTTTTCATTCCAAATAAATTAAAGCAACAAAGCCTTTCCTTTTCAGATCCCAGCCCTGCAAGTTTAAAAAAAAAAAAACATCTGAACTATGTTGCTTAAGCACTGAAAGAGACCCCATTCGCTCTGCAAACCATTACCTAGACCTCAGAATAGAGGGGCTCCTTTGTTTTTCCCAGTTTAACTTTTTTTTAAATGGGCTTCACCGAGTCCATTCCATGTCAGCGTGTGTAATTTACAGCGGGAGCACAATTAGGGCAGGAGGTTCCCCTCGGGAGCACAGCTCCGCAGGGAGCAATCTGCTGGACTGCCGAAGCTACCAAGTGGCGTCATTCCCCCCCCCCCAAAGCTGAAGAGGAGCTGGGAAGACAATGGCAGCAGGGAAAGGCTCCAAAAACAGGCAGCGCTCAGCAGGCCCATGGCGGAATGCTAATTACCAGAGCAGCTCCTTCACAATCAAAGCTGCCACAGAGCACGGCGTCACCTAGGAATCACTCCTGACTACAGACACTACAGAGCGTCCCCCCCCCGCCCCCCCACGGAGCACGGCTCAGCGTATGGGCCAACTGACCCCAGTACAGTTTAGTCTCCCTCAACAGCACCGGGCAATCAGCTCCATCACGCAACGGGTCACCTTTGTAGCCAGGCAAGCCGTTTTCCCCAGAGCTCCGGACCAGAACCACACAGACGGCTTGTCACTAATTAACAGGAAGCCGCCGGTGGCGTGCCGCTCCGAGGCCACGGGGCACGTCTTCACGGGGCTCCGGTTTCTCTCTTATGTAGGTCAATCTTCATGGGCAGGAGAAGACGTGCAACGCAGATGACTCACGCCTCAGACGGGCATCACCCTCATCTCCAGCAGCTACTTTGAGACAATCTTCCCTAATTACCATTAAGCTTCAGAAAAATATAAACTGAGAAAAGCTTCTCAGACTTCTGAAGCTTATTTGGAATCCTATCTGTAAAGACAGCTATTATTGCTGTGTTTAGTCAATACAGTCTAATCAATACCATTACGAACATATTATTACTTAACTTGTTAAATATATGATGGCTTTGGTATTATAAATTTACTTTTACATGTTTGTGATAGAGACTAAACAAGGGAACGTAATGGAAAAGCTCTATGGAGAAATCCACTCTAAATCAGTATAAACCTGGTTATGCAAGACACAGAATCAAGTCAGGCAAACCCTAGTCACACCTAAATTACATGTAGCTATAAAATTTAACTCCCACAAACTGGAAGCCATACTGCAGCTTTACTTACAACACGATATCCCGTACACCCCCACAAGGACAGCCAACTCACCAGAACAAAGATCTCACCAGTACTAGCTGCCTAGTGGTAAGCCACAAAGCTTCATTTCCTATTCCTGTCATTGCTGACAGTTTTGGTTGTCCCCAAAAAGAAAAAAATCGTAATGGCTAAGCTAATAAAACCAAGTTTAATACACACCTTTGCTTGAGAGCCAGCGTCTGTATTAATGAACACCAACACGTCAAAGGCCCACTGGCACTTATCTACTGCATACGGTTTCAATGCGAAAAGATGAGCACACTTCTCCTGCAGCTTTTTAACACAAATAGCTGTAAAGCATGTTAATGGTCTGGGTGTTACATCTAAGCCGCTCTGAGGATCAGCATGTGAGGAATCCTAACTAGCAGCTCTGTGATTACTGCAGGTCACCATGCGGGCAGCAATCGCCATGCCAGCCAGCGTGGTGGCCACGACAGTACTACGCTCACCCGGTAAAAGCCTTAATCATCTGCCTCCGTATTCATACGTTGTTTAAACCGAGAAATAGCATCGGATCATACAACAGGCTGGGACGCGCTGCCCTGTTGATACAACCGGTTCCAACAAGTGATGGGGGATCCGAGACTGTTGAGTCTTCCGGATAATCGGCATGCATGGTCACTTTTCACTGGAGTCTTGAGCGACCGGAGAGGCCAAAACTGACTCATCCTAATGATCATTTCACTTTTCACTGCCGCCGATGAAGGCTTAATTCAGTTTAAAGGCTTTTAACTCATTTCCACTTGGCAGCAATCCAGTGATTACGATCACCATGAATGCAGCATTGGCAGGACGAAACAGTGGAACGGATCCAGTTTTTTCGCAGATGGAAGAACATGTGCACTTTAAAGCTAAATTTATTTTTCCGGCACAACATGTTTTACACCACATCAGCAGCATACACAGTTCTGATCGCAACTGGAGAGTTTCCTCCCAACTTCAAAGGGCTGCGACCTGAACAAAAACCGAAAGTTATGTAACATCGCTTTTTAAAGTAGACCAGAGAGAAATGATACACCCCATGTAGTCAACATGTTTCTTCTGGTCCAATCATATAATTTGCACATACAGATGGGTTCGAATAGAGATGGGTTCTGAGCTGTAGACAGCATGTACTACCATTAGTGCATACAATACCTAGAGGTTTCTGAAGATGGACACGTGCAGGAATATAGTTCCCAGAGAATGTCGAAGACGGGGAGAAAAAAACATTAAGATGAACCAGAAACCATTCCAAGGCAGTATTTCGTCTTGCCACGTCTTCCCCCACAAGACAGACCCGAAGCAAACGTGCTGCAAACGCACGTTGGGGATGATAATACCTTCGGCGATACCAAACCGAAATATTTGAGGAGCTTACAAGTCTACAAATAGAAATCCTTTCGGTTCAGCTACTCTGCATGAATGTACGCTTTATAAATAATTCTTATAAAAATTAAAATAAGTAGTTGTTGAAAATCTTGAACAACTGAAGGAGCAGAAAAAAAGACACTATTCACAGACAATGTGGAGTACCCTCTTCGTGAAAAACGGAGTGGACCCGGCCATCCGCGAACCAATCAGCGCTTCTTCCGTAACTACTGGGAACAAACAAATGACCCTGTTGGGAATTTCCCGAACGGAGATACCGTCTGATGTTGGGGTGGGTTGTGAGAGTCCAACGCAGTGTCATGCCGCAGGAGTGATGCTCTCCAAGCCCTGTATGTGAACGATGTCCATAAATAGTATCTATCATAACCATATTTAAATGTTCTTCTGCTGATATAGCCAACGGCAGGTACCGAATATATTTCTTATTATTGAGAAACTTTATCCCCGTTTCAAGTTCCGTTCCCCTAATGAGAAATTTTCAACATGAGTAAAGGAATTATAAAAATGTACTAGTGAATTCTGATAAAAACGCAAATATGAAAAAATACATAATTCTTTATTATAAAATGTAATGATTAAAAATTAAAAGTAACCAATAAAAGTAAGAAGCCTATATTAAAAATACTGACCAAACTCTAGATAAATAACATGAAATCCTACATAAAAATGTAACCTGAGAGATGGTATTCATTTTAATTCTGTTTGGAGAAATCTTCTAAATGCAATGACAGTCGGTTTAGTTTTCATTTGCATACCTTTCTTTTATGCTTTATATATCACTAAACAGCACAGTAGTTTGTTGGGTATCACGTTCACCTCACACCTCCAGGGTTTGGGACTTCAATCATCTCCTTGGTCTGTGTGGAGCTCTTAAGAGAAGCATTTTTGGATGAAGAGGCACATGTATGAGGCCTGCATCATCACAGCTCCTTCTGGAACCTACCATAGCCTTCCTCATGCTCTTAGGCACCTTC